CTCTAAACTTTTTGGTGAAGGTAACATAGATTGGATCTTGCAAGAAGATAATGATCCAAAGCATCGATCAAAAATCGCGAAAAAATGGAAGGAAGAAAATGTCATTGAGGTACTTTCTTGGCCATTAATGTCTCCAAACCAAAACCCTATAGAAAACGTTTGGAGGTTAATGAAAATTAATATACAAAAAAAAAAATTTGATTAATTAAAGGGTTAAAGGGAGAACTTACAAAAGAATGGAACTGATTATCACTTGTACTTACCGCAAATTTGGTAGCTATTATGAAAAGGCGTACAGCTGCACTTATAGAGTCAGATGGTGACTATACAATGTATTAATTTTAGTTAGTTGGTTATATATTTTTTAAATAAAAAAAAAATTTTAAATTTACTTACTTGTAGCCTGAGTTAGAGGTGGTCGAATACTTATGACCGCTACTGTATGTCAGAAATTTGAATATATATGATGGAAAAATGTGACGTATATCGACTTCATCTCTTAAAATCATTCAATCTACCTCTGTTTTATTCATCTTACAGCAGCTTACGTCTTGCTCTGTCTTGGGCATAGAATATTAAGGTAAGTCTTATTTATGATATTGTTTAATCATCTTCAGAAGATTACTGTCATCTTGTCATATATTAAGTATTTCTTTTAGGGTCTTATCGAAAATCTATCATTTGAATTAGATGATAAAACATTTGTTACTTCTATAACTCCTGAACGTGATCCATCTGATGAATTGAAAACTGATATAACACTGGACAATTCAAAAAATAAAAAGTTTGTGAAAGGTATTTTATTAATGAATACTACAAAATGTTGTCATTTCACAATAATAACGTTATTATGCAATAATTCTGAAAATTTATTGGTTCATAATATTTAGTAGTGAACAGAATCTTAATCAACAATGAAAACGTGGGTGTTAGTTAACAAAGAATATTATTATATAAAATATATTGCATATATATATGCATGAAAATTATGAATAAACTCAAAAACTTTGCTTATTTGCTATATCATAGTAATTTAACAGTGGGTATTTATAAAATGGAAGCTGTGAACATTATGTAAATGTTACTCAATGCAATCCACTATGGTTGGCTTAGTCTAAAAGACTCCTATTACTGTGCCATGCGTTCAAAATTTCAAAATTGCAATTTCGTGATTCATTCAATGCAATAAAAATTTCAAACGTGATTTTGGTTAAAAAATTATTTTCCTTACTGCCAAATTTAGATATGATGATCAAGAATTGGTCTAAATTTAGAAATGATATAGCGCTCAAATTCCTCATGAATATAGTAAAGTACATGTTTTAAAAAAAAATAGAACTCTATAACAAATAATTTCTTCATTACATTAAAAGCAGAAACCTATTTTACCAACTAATGAGGCTATTTTATAAAAAGATAGGACAGAAATGACTTCTATACTTTTAAAATTTGCACAAAATTTAGGTCTTTAGACCGAGCCAACTATATTACAAAATTAATATATAGTCAAGTGAAATGTCAATCCCACAACAAATTTGTAACCAGCAATCATTTCTTATTAAAGTCTAAAACCAATTTACAAGACTACTTTTTATTCTTAATAAAACTTTTTAGCTTTACTTTAATTTTATCAATAAAAACAGTTATTTGTCAAACTTTTTAAAAAAGTTATTGAAATGTAGGCATTTGAAAAGTATGAATGTTTAAAGACATTTTTCAACATTCTTTTAAAGTTCTAAATATTTTACAATTCCAATAGACTATGACATTTTTGGATTATGTAGCCTTTTTGTTATTACCACTTTGTGTAATAAGTTGAAAATAAAATAGATTACATATAGAGGAGGAAATTTTATAGGTAATAATATATTAATAATATCAGAATAATTTGTTTATTGCAGTTATAATGCGGAAGCTATACTTGGGAAATGGCATAAATTTTTCACTTATTTCAATTACAATTTAAATTAAAGATCCAAATATTTATATTTTTGTAATGTTAGGATTCATATTTAACTAATCATTAGTTTTAAGGATTTATACATATATGGATATAATATTGGAATCACAGGTATATTAAATTTATGTTATTGATGATATTAAATATTATTTATTGTCCCTCTTCTTTACTGTAATTTGTATATTAATATTATTTACAATGATCCTAATAATAAGTTCGATTCAATATAGCACTCAATGCATATATTCCTGATCAAAAATAAAAATTTTTTTTGTCCTCTTCACAGTGAACAATGTACAGTGGTCGAAAAAAGTAATCAGAATCACATTTTTATTAATTAGATGATAAATAAGCATCATAAACACATACAAATTTGTACACATGACCTTTATGATCCCGTAAACAAGTTTACTTAAGGACACTCAATAGGGTATCTTATTATCATCACCCTCAATTACTAGATCTAGCCTCAATTTCATACTACGAACTAAATTAAGAAAAAGTTTTGGTTTAATTCCCTCCCATTTCTCTTGAATTATTTCACAAAAAATATCTACAGTAACTGGATTTTTTTAAGAACCAGTTTGTTAACCTTTTTCTTCACACGTCCCTTCAAAATCGACCATAAATTTTTGATCAGATTGAGGTCTGGACTGTTCGAAGGCCAATCCAACAACCTTGGACAACATTTTGAAAGAAGTTTCTTGATTTCCTTGGCTGTATGCTTCAGATCGTTATCCTGTTAGAATACCCAGCACCTCTTCATGATAGAATTTGCATTTTCAAATAGGTTTTCTGTCAAAATTTCTCGGTAAAAACACCCATCCATTATTCCTGTAAAAAGAAGAAAGCCAATTGGACCTTTTACTGAAAAGGCACCCTATGCATGAACTTTGTACAGATATTTCACTATAAGTTTGTGTGGAGACTGTGTACCAACTTTATGAAAGACTGTCTGAGTATTTTGAAACATCTGGAATGTGATTTCATCAAAAAAAATTACCTTATTCCAATTTTGTTTTCTGTATTTTATAGTAAACTCCACTCTATGCTGCTTTTGTTGGTCAGTTAGCAAGAGTATAATTTTTGGGACAGTACTAAAGTAATTAAAATTATTAAGTTCATTAAGCACAGTCCGGTCAGTTACGTTGAGGTTGGTATAATTTTCGTTCAAAATATTTGCAAGTTCAGTACATGTATAATATCTATTTGCTGAAATGAGATGACCAAAAAAATGACATTTTTTAGGAGAAAGTTTCTTTGGTCTACCAGAGCAAGGTAAGGGGTTTAAAGTGTTACCATTTTTAAGTTTTTTGACATAGTCATATACCGTAGAACGTGAGATAGAGGTTAATTTGTGCAAAGTTTTAGCATTATGAATGCTATTACTCTATAAAGTGCTTACAATTGTATGACGTTATTCAAGTGTAACGTTTGCCATAGTTGCTAAAAAAAAAACTTGGCGGATAAAACTAAATAAATAAACAAATATGTCGATCATTTACTATTATGATCAATATGTCATCACATGAAATTTCAACTTGATTGATTTAATAATACGAGAGAAATTTACATTTTATTGCGATGTATTTTTTTCAATTACTTTTTTTGACCACTGTATTTTTCAATTCCTATCTAACAATAATAAGAACAATATATATATATATATATATTGCAACTATTCAAAGAAGAAATCAAGACAGAAATGCATTAGAATACCAGTTTGAGCGTAACCACTTAGAAGATTTATTATGTAAAGTCAACCAACATAAAGTTATCTATAGGCTTAGTTATAGTAGTCTTCATAAATATAATCTTACAAAATGGACTAGTGATTCTTTAACAACAAGGCAGGATTATTTACCTCATTTGCATAAAAGAGAAAGTTTCTTTCTTGTATTAGTATATAGTAAAAAAAAAATAAATAAATAAATAAATTAATATTGTAACAATGAGATTATTTTCCTTCTAAGGGTTTCTGATTTTTGTTGGATAATAGCATATCTTCATTTTGTTTTCTTTTTTAATATTTATTATTTTTCTTTCTTGGTAAATTTCATAAGTAATCTTTTCTTAGATAAGCTTCAAGTGTCTGAGTATCATTTATTTTGAAAATGTAAGAAGCAATTTTTTCATCTTGCTCTTTCTTCAAAATACTTCTGATAGTACTATAATTCTTGGGTTCCATGGTAGATCTGATGTAAATTAACTTTATATTAACTATTTTTATATAGAGGTAATTCTATATATCATCTAATATTAAGAGGAAGATTTTAATAATTACGTTACTAAATTTTGACCCTAAAATCCTTGGTAATACTAATGTTCACTTTGTCTGATTTTGTTGTAGCATGCCTCAAATACTTAAAATTCTGAAATAGTTTTAGGAGATCAATAATAAGTTTAAATTCAATGAATGATCCTAATAGCTTATTAGTGAATATTCTAAAATTATAGATATATTTGATTATCTTTAAATAGGATATTTAAATTAATTTAAGCAAAAATGAATATTTATTAAATATAATTTAAATATCTTAAGATATGATATAATAATATAATTACGTTACATGATTGCATAAAAGGTAATAAATTATAATTTAAATTTTCTTACAGTATTAAAAAAACTTTCTATTTAACTATTTATACTTTATAAAAGCAAAAATGTCTGAAGAGAATTCAAGAAAATATAATATAATTAAAATAGATGAATGTTCAAATATAGAAGATAAAAATAATTAAAAGGTTAAAGGCAATTTAACTTTTAGTGTTTTTTTTAACATTTAATAGACATAATCTGAATATAGAAAAAAAAAAAATCTAAACTATATAATTGAAATAGAAATTTGGTGATCAGCTACCTTATTTAACTAAAAAAATTATATGGATTTTTATTGTAATCAAAAAAAAAAAAAATGGTGATGATTGTAACTTTAATATAAAAACTAAAGGTTTAACTAGTAATATTATTCATCATTTAAATAATATTCATAAAATTAATTAAAATATAAAAATTAAAGATTCTTTATTAAATTAACCATATCTAAAACAAATTGAATTGAAAGCCTATTTTATTAATATTGAATAAGTATAACAATCATATTAATCAGTCCTTTTATTTGATGAATAAATATATATTAAAAATCTCTTATATAAATAGATAGTTGATAATATATAGCTATTGCTACTTTTTAGATCAGTTATATTTTACTAATTTGTAAATATTTTAAATTTCTCTTTTAATATTTAAATGAGAAACGTTTTAACCAAAATATCAATAACATATGTAATATTGTAACTGAAAATCTAATGGATATGTTAAATGAAATTATTCTATTTCTATTACATGTGACCTCTAGATATCAAAATTAAAACAAGATTTTTTTGTATAACTTGTCATTTTATAACTAAAAGTTTTAAACTTAAAGAAATCATCTTATTAATAATATCTCATACAGAAGATCAAATTCAAGAAACTTTAGAAGAAATTATTAATCAATGGAATTTAAAAGAAAAGATTTTTTTTTTGTATTTTAATAATGCTATCAATATAAAAAAAATGTTTAACTAGATGTCATAGATAAAACAGTTTTCTTATATAATACATATGATTTAACTAATAATAGGAAAGAGATTATTATTAGCTAAGATTTTAATTGTATAAGCAAAATATATAATAAAATTTTTTCAGTACTTCAAAATAGAATGAGGCCTAATTTCTATTCAGAAAGATAATTCAAATGTTCTTGATAGTGAAATAGCCAAAGATTTATGTAAATACTTTTATGTGTTATAACTGATATTGATACAAGATGAAGCAATACATATTTAATATAAGAATGATTAATTGTTTTAAAACCTTTTATTGATAATGTATAATAATACTAAGTAAAGAACCTGAAACTAAAAAAAACTTAAAAAGATTAAAAAAATTAATCTAATTTATGATTAATATGAT